CTCTAGTAAGGGGAAGCACCCGGACCACAGCTCCCTTCCTTCCTTCCTTCCTTCCTTCCCTCCATCGGGGTCTCCCTCCTCCCACCCTCCGGCCCCTCTCTCGGCTCCTTTCCCAGCTGCACCCCCAAAGCCTACCCCCCCCAAAAGGAACCCCGGCTGAGGGGGGGGGGCTGCTCCTCCTACCGCATCTTCTGCTCCTCCTCCAGCTCCCTCCTGCCCAGGGCGGCCTGGGGCTCCGAGAGCTGCCGGCTCTCCTGCAGCCTCCGCTCCAACTCCTCCACCTGGGAAGGGCCGAAGCAGGGACTTTAGGGGAGAGGCCCCTCTCCAGCCCCCCCAAAACACACCCCCCCCGTTGCCTGCTCTCCTTTTGCAGCGGTGCGGGCCCCTGTTGAGGAGGAGGAGGGGGAACCTCCCTGGCGGTGCAGGGGATCCTCGACTTACGACCGTCCGTTGAAAGACCGGGGGGCGCTGGGGCCACTGACCCTTTTCTCGGCCTGGGCAGCCCGCTGGCTCTCCTGGGTCAGCTGCTCCCGCAGGCGGCTCTGCTGCTTGGCGGCCTGGGACAGCTGGAGCAGCTGCAGCTCGAGTTCCTTGGCCTGCTGCTGGCTGAGCTCCCCCCGCGAGGCCAGCGCCCCACAGGCCCTGGAGGCCTCCCGCAGCTTCCCCTGGGCCTGCCTCAGCTCGGCCTGCACCTGGGGAGGGAGGGAGGGAGGGAGCGCAGGCCCTTCAGCCGGGGAGCCCCCCACCCGTCCCCAACCCCGACTGGACCCTGGGACCACAGGGACCCCCCCCGGGTGCCCCCACCCACCTTCAGGTTTTCCTGCTGCAGCTGCAGATTCTGGAGCCTGAGTTCCAGAGTCCTCTCCTGCTCCAGCCTCAGCTGCTTCTTGGTGGAGATCGGGGCCTGTCGGGGGGCCCAAAGCAGCCCCGGGGCCTCTTCCTGCGGCGGCTGCGGGGCTCCTTTCTGGGGGGGTCCCTGCGTGCAGAGGGGAGGTGATGAGGAAAGGGTGGGGTGCTCCCCCTCTCCCTACGGGGTGGCCCCCCTTCCACACCTGCTCCGTGTCCCCACCGGCGCTTCCCAGGGCGGGGCGGGGAGGGCGGGGCCGCAGCTCCGCGCCTCTCTCGGTGGGCGCTCAGCTGACGCTGCACGGCCAGGATCTCCCCCTCCCGGAAGGGTCCCTCCTCTCGCTGCTGGGCTTGGACCGGCTTCTCCAGCTCTGCCATCCTGCTGGCTTCGGAGAAAGGGAGGCTGTGGGTCAGAGGGCAGGGGGAGAAAGGGGACTTTGCGGGCAGAGAAAGGGGGAGAGGTGCTACATCCCCCTCCCACCCCCCGAAACCCAGGCTCTCCTCCCACCCCGCACCCCAGTGAGCCCGAGCTCTTGGAGCAGCCCATGCCTGGATCCTGGTTCCGGGGGTCTCTTCCGTGAGGGTGGAGGAAGAGGGGTGCCTGTTTGGGGTGAGTGGCGCCTCCTGGACCCTCCAGGACAGAGACGATGTCAGCGGGTGACATCAGAAAGGGGCAGGGTCCCCCTCCCCACCTCACACTTCAGAAGCTCACAGAAAGAGGACAGGGGGGCCTTAGTTGCCCTCGGAGACCCCCCAGCCCTGCTCCCCCTGACCCCCGGCAGCTGTGCCTGGGGGTCTTCCTTCCTTCTCCCTCCGATCCCCGCTTCCCTCCGTCCTTGTCGTGCCTTTCAGACTCTGCGCACAGGTAAGATCAGGCCACGCTCCGATATCTGACATCGGGGAGGCTTTTCGGGTACGGGGCAGATAAAAAACTCTGATAAAAGTTCTATTTTTAACGCTTGAGCCAAACAGGGGTGAATGAATGAAGTTCCTAAGGCTTGTGGACTTCAACTCCCAGAATTCCCCAGCCGGCCGGTCCCCAAGTCTTAAAAGTTGCCCAGGTCCTGAGACCTGGACGTTTATTTCCTTCGATTTCGCTCTTGGAATCTTCATGCCAAACATCCATCCGTTCCTTTTAAAGTCCTCCAAGGTCCCAATCTAAAAAGAACTGGCTGTCGAGGGCCCAAATTACCACACTGGCTGTCCATCTGCTCCCTGGTCCGGCATCTGATCTTCTTCCCACATCTTCACCCTGGCTGGAAATTCGGGGCAGGAGAGTCTGCTTGCCAAAACTCCCCCGTCCTCCTCCTCCTCCTCCTCCTCCCTCTCTCTCAGGAGACGCTGGTTCAGGCGCTCGCACTCGTGGGACAGCTCCAAGACCTGTGGGTTTCATTTTTAGGGGGTGGATTAAACTAATTAAATAAATGTATTTCATAAATAAGTCATTAATAATCCATTAAGTTAATAATTCTTTAAATACATTTATTTATTAAATGTATTAAATTTAGATTTAAGCAAACATAGAGCCTACTTTACGACTTAAAGCCTTTCACTTAGTGACCATTTGAAGTTACAACAGCACTGAAAAAAGGGACACGGCCGTTTCCCGCATAGCCGCTGCAGCAACACGATCAACATCCAGGCTCTTGGCAACAGACTCATACTTACGACGGCCACAAGTGTCCTGGGGTGTGTGGGTGTGTGTCAGGCGATGCCCTCCTGCGACCGCCTGGCCAGCAGAGTCAGGGGAGGCCAGCCTAACCGAACAGCCGCGTCCGCTCACCTTGGCCTCAAGCCGCCCGTTCTCCTGCAGCAGCTTCTCGTGAGCCAGGCGCAGAGACCCCCGCTCTTCTGTGGCCCCCTGCAGCACCTGCAGCTCCCCGTAGAGACGGAGAAGCTCAGCCTTGGAGCTGCGCAGCTCCTGCTGGTTCCAGGGGGGATGGGGAACATGGAACGGGAAGGGAGTCATTCGGACACAACAGGGATTAGTGAGGAACAGCCCCCCCCTCCCCCCCCCAGCACCTGCAGTGGTGGAGCCCAGCTGGGTCCTGAAACGTCGGCAAGAAAGCGGCCAGGCTCAGAGACCCCCGCGGCCCCCTCAAGGACCCCTCCCTTCAGGTCAGCCCACCCGGGGCTCCCCTCCAAGGGCTGCGGGGAGGATCCACACGGGAGGCGTCCATTGGGGAGCGATGTGACCCACGTGCTTAAAGCTGCCTCCCAGGTCGCTGGCTGCCTCTCTGCTGGCTGACAAGCCCCCCGGAGGGGCCCATCTCTCTGCCTCTGGAAAGCAAAGCCGGTCGTGCAGCAGCAGTCTATCTGTCGGCAGGTTCTGCTCTCTGGCCTTCCACAGCTCGGACGCAGCAGCTAGAGGGAATCAGGAGGTCGCTTGGGGAGGCCGGGCTCAGTCTGGGGCCTCTCAGCCTCCTCGCCAGCTTGAAGCGGTGAGGATTCCGCCCCCCATGTTCCCCTGCCAGCCGGGCCTCTCTGCTTACTGCCGGAATCAGGGTCCAGGGCCGAGAAGGGTTCTCTGGGGAGTGAAGGTCTTGCCAAGGGCTCAACAGGCTGCTCGCCCCTCTCTTCCTCCTTGCCCAGCGATCCTGGCCAGTTCTCCGCTCCTGGCCAAAGAGATTTCAGAGCTCCCCCACTGACGAGGGAAGGGTGGGGAATTGCAGACCTGGCCCGGCCCATTGGGAGGCTTCAGCTCCCAGAATTCCCCAGCCCAGTCGCCTTCCAAGGAAACGAGAAAGCCGTGAGTGAAAAAGGGAGGAAGCCCAAGAGAGACCTACCAACCGGGCCACGCAGGTTCCCTCGCTCTCCCTCTGCCACGTCCAGATCCTCCTCCAGCGCTGGGATCCCATCTTGGGCGCTCCGAAGCTTCCCTGGGGCTCCATCCAAGCCTCGCGTGGCCTCTTCCCAGACCGGATCAGGGCCTTTTCCTTTCCCATTTTTCTCACCATTTCTTTTCTTTTCCCCTTTGCTCACCGTCCCTTCGATGTGGTGCAGGGATTGCTGTAGCTGGTGAAATTCCTCCTTTGTCCTCGGGTGAAAGAGATGCCATTCATCCTTCAGGGAAAAGCAAAAGAGACTTAAAAAAAAAAAAAAAAGAGGTTCTGGTGACTCTGGAATTCTGTGAGAAGACCAGCAAGTGGCCCGACTGGAGACCCGAACTCTCCCCCAGTGCAACGAACAAGGACAGGGATTCAGTTCACGTAAAGCTCTCCCTCCTCTTGGTGCACCCCCCCCCCCCCCCCCCCCAAACAGAAAAGACCTGCACTTGTAGGGAAGCCCCGCAGGGTCTCCCCAGGCGGTGGGGGGCTCCCAGCTCCTGCTCCAGAGCCTCCATCCGCTCCAGCAAAGAGCTTCTCTCTACCAGCAAGTAGGCCACCTGCTCGCTGGGGCTGCTGTGGACGATGCCGGCCAAGCCCTCCAGCGCCAGCAACTCGGCCACCTCCTTATGCTGGGACTCTGGGGAGAAACACAAGGTAGACCCCTGCCTTAGCACCGGGCCAGGGCACAGGCTCCTCTCTTGCCCTTCCCTCTTCAGAGGAGGGGAAATTGTATGCCACTTTCTGCCCCTAAAGGAAAAGCAGTGGAGAAAGGAGGAAGGGTCCGGTCTAGCCATGCCTGCGAGGAAGCCTGCCCTGTGACCTCACCACCCCAACTCTACCTTGTGCACTTGCACTACAGTACGGTCTGCGGGAATGGGAAGGGTGAAAGGTTGTGTCTCTTGCAAGGAAGTTCCCCTCCGGCCAGGAAAATTCTGGAAAGTGGCCGAGGGCAGGTACCGTGCTCCAGCTGCATCTGGGTGAACTTCGTCCTCAGCTCTTCGTTTTCCCGCTCGTATTCTGCCGCCAGAGCATCCCGCGCCTCTGTCAAGGCCCGGACGTGATCAACGTAATTCTGCACCTGAAGAGGAGGAGGAGGAGGAGGAGGGTCCAGAGACAGAGTTTGGCTGCTTTATCAGCTGACCAAAGGGCTCATCTCCCAGCCTCCTTGCCAGTGTTAAGGCACCGCCTGGCAACCTTGGCAGTTTGCAGGTGGGTGGACTTCGACTCCTAGAATTCCCCAGCCACAGTAAAACCCAACTTTCCAGATCCTGATGGTCACCAGATGGCACTCTGGCTCTGCTCAAGGACCTCTGCCACCCCCACCCCCCCACACCCCCTTTGGTTCTTCCTCCACAGATCAGAAATCTGCATAACCAGAAATTCAAGCCTCCTCCCTCCCTCCCTCCCTCCCCAGGACTCATTGGTTGGTCCCAGAGTCCCAGAGTGGGGGGGGGGTGTTTGCAGATTTCATTGTCCAAATGACAGCACCTGACACCAGCGGGGGATCAGGGCCAAAGCAGAGTGACGCAACTCACCTTCCCAGGTTCACAGCCCCGAAGACAAACATTGGCAACCGACCAAGAGACTCACACCGCAGGCAGCCTCTCTTTCCAGCCTTTCGCCTGGGAGCAGGCCACCCGCCCCTCAATTCCACTCGGATCCTTCTCCCCTTTCGTTGACCCAAAGTCCAAGAACAATCAAACTGGACCCCGAAACTGTCAAGCAGGACGGAGGCAGCTGGTGTGCCTGCCCTTCCTTCTCAGCGGGAGGGAAAGGGAGCTTTTGCAAAGCGGGGGGTGGGCGGCGGTGGGCTGCCAGCAAGGTGGCAAGGGCTGGTTTCCCCCCCCTGTCAAGATGACGACAGCCGGGAAAGGAAATGGATCATCGGCCGAGCCAGGGAAGCGATGCTTGGCGTGGCCTGCAAGGAACCTGGGGCTCTTATTGTCTTCAGTCGCCGCTTTGAAGGCTGCCGAGGGGGAAGAAACCCACCCAGAGCTCTTCCCTGCCCCCAGATCAGACGGGCTCGAGGAGGCAGGAAGCGCCGCTCTGTGGATGCCGTGTCCTTCAAGGGGCTCTGCACAGGAAGGTCCCCTGCGGGCATCTGACACTGAACACTTCATACCCGAGACGCTAAAAGGCCAGGAAAGGCCTCAAGAATGTGCTCTCTTGGGTCCAAGAAAAGCAGGATGTATGACAACAAAGACACCGCCGGGTTTGGTCGGTCTCTGGAGAGGCTTCAAGGGCAACCGGAGACCAGGCCGAGAGGCCGAACTGGGGCATCGGCCACTCCCAATGGCCTGACGCCTGACCACGGCTGACCCCTTGCCAGCTTCTCCAACTATCAGGCCATGGGAGGACTTGACTCCAGAAGTGGTGGGCGCTCCATCACTCAGGCTGTCAGGAAAAGGCTGGGCAGCCTTTTGTCTAAAACTGGTATAAGGGGATTGGACTAGATGACCTCCAAGGTCCCTTCCAACTCTGTTATTCTGTTCTAATTACATGCCAGTTCCCCAAAAGTCCACTTCAGCAGAGGTGAAGCCAAAAGTCTGAGTTAGAAGCTAAACGTTCACTCCGGTTAAACTTGAAGGTGGCTTGAAAGGATTCACAGCTTGTTTTCACTTAGCAACTGCTTCATACAGCGGCCATTCAGTTACCAGGATGTTGTTACCAGGCGCCGGCGTGAAAAAATAAGGGGACGACTAACCACCCTGTGACTAATTTAACTGCAGCGATTCACTTAACAACGGCAGCAAGAAAGGTTATAAACGGGGAAAAACTCATTTAACACTTCCTCACTTAATGGAAATTCTGGGCACAAGGGTGGCTGTAAGTTGAGGACCACCTGTAGTGGGGCACCTACTAATGAACCGCACGCCTTTCAGGAGAGCCACTGGGCATGTTCCCAGGTTCCCTCCCATGGCTGGAAACAAGGGACCCCCCATCACCTCTCTCATCTCTTCCTCCAGCTGCTGACGGAGCAACGCCCCAGAGGCGGAATGCAGGTCCTCCGGGCCACGCAGAAACCAGGGCCACGCGTGGGCTAGCTGGGTCTCCGAGGGGGCGGTGGTGGCGGTGGTGGTGGCAGCAGCGTCTCCTCCTCCTTCGGCCTCCCCCAGCTGCTGGAAGAGAGAAAAGCACCAGAAGCCCAAGTCAGTCCCCTCCCTCAAGGAGGCCGGCATGGCTGTACAGCCGGGCAACCAGCCTTGGCATCCACATGGCTTGGACCAGCTCTGGCTTGGCACTCCGGAAGCAACCACAGAAATCGGATCTAAGGAAATTCTAAGCAAACAGATCCCAATCGTCCCCAGCCAGCACTGTCCAAGGCTGGGGAGCATGGAGGTTGGAATCCAATGCATTGAGAACTCCATCCACCTGCATATTCATGCATTAGTACTATGTAAAGACTAGAGTATATGGCTTTGTTCGGGGATTTTATAATTTTATAATTTGGCTTTGCTCCGGTATATATAAAAATACATATACATATAAATATACATAGTATATATAACGCACGCATACAGACAGACCCATGGAGAGAGGTTTTCATTTTATTTACTTAGCCATCCCACTTGCAAAGGGATATCAGTGGCTTATAAATTTAAATAATGTTTGCATGCCTTGCAAATTTTTGCCTTTTAATTTAGCTCTTCCGGGGTCCAGTGTGTGTGTGTGTGTGTGTGTGTGTGTGTGTGTAAAAAGCACACATACATTTATGCATAAACATAGAAGGAACCTACGCGCCCGTTATATCCTTGCCCAGTTTTGCAAGGTGGAAGTCCATATAACTGGAATAAAATCAGCCAATAAATATTTATAGCCGTATTTTGGTGGGGGGGGGGGGAACCCGGTGGCGAGTACGTTCTTCAACCGCAGCGCCTTGAGTGGAGCCTCCCCGGGCAGGAGCAGTCTACCCTCCCCTGCGCCCTCCGCTTCCAGCCTGGCTGAATCTCGGCGCCCGCCGCCCCTCCTGGCCCCCCAGGCTGACTCACCGGCCGGCCTCCCTCCATGAGGGCGGCGCGGCATAGGCCGGACCGGGCGGGAGCGCAGCCCGCAGAGAAGGCCGTGAAACCATGGCAACGCGCGGTCCAGGCGTGAGGAGACGCTGTCAAGGAGCCCTGGCAACTGGCCACGCCCCCTTAAAGAAACCGCTCCCCATTTCTTTCGCACTGAGCCCACCAGGGGATCTAGCAAATTGTGGGGGGAGGGGTTTGCCTCCAAATGAGGAAGGGGACGCTCTTCTCCTGCAGGTAGCCCACCCTGCCATGACCCACACATGAAAATGGAGGGAGACAGAAGCTTTGAAACCTGGTTTATAAATGCGGTACAAGGAATGTCTGAACGCATACATGGGAGAAAGCAACCGGTGCAATCCTTGTCTTAAGGAGGCAAGCCAGGTTCAGGCTCCAGCATCATCCCAGGGATGTCCCACTGTGCTAGAATGCTCTTCAGCAGGGCTTCTTAATCGTGGCCACTTTTAAGTATGTGTGGATTTCAACTCCCAGAATTCCCCAGCAAGCATGCTGGGAATTGAAGTCCACACATCTCAAAGCAACCCCAGTTGAGAAAATGATGTTCTACTGATAATTTCTCCCCGAGAAAGAAGCAACAAGAGCCAGCGACAGCCCCTGTGTATTATAAGTGAACTCAGAGCCCATCTGAATAGCACTGCACTAAGAAAACCAGCTGGTTTAACCGTGGTTTACAAAACACGCCCTGAATATAGGGCACACACGTCAAAACCCCCACATTTTGCCTGGCGCGTGCGAAGCCAAAGACACACAAGGCAAGCTAGAACAAGGCATAAAATTTCTTAAGTTTAGTTTCTGAATTTTTTTATTATTATTCTGAATATTGTCTTCCTTTTTCACAGCCTTCCTTAAGTATCACAATTCTTTTTCCGGTCAATTTTAAGACACAATCCAAGAAGCCTGACAGTTATAGACAGTTTGCAGATGCTGGGCGACCAATTGTACCGTTGGGTCCTTGCAACAAATGAACCGTCACATGGCTTAGTTAACCTGGGGTGGGCCATGAAAGCACAGCCGTTTCAAGCAAGGCAGAACTGAGCAGGTACAGGAAATCTTTGACTCACGACAAGCAGTAGCAGAAATTCCGTCAGTAAGCAGTGCAATCTCTGAGTTGCGCCTGATTTTATGACCATTTTTTGCTTTGGTCATTAAGCAAATCAGCCCCCCCCCCCCAATTGATTTTGATTAGCAAAAGCTCCCTGGGAAAGTCGCAACTGGTGATCACGTGACCTTAGGATGTTGGTTGCCAAGCAAGCACATTTTCATCCGGTAACCATGGGGACGCTGCAGCAGTTTGTAAGTGCAAGGACCAGCTGTCAGTCACGTTTTTTAGCATTGTCATATCTTTGAACAGCCATTAAACAAATGGCCGTAAGTTGAGGACTACATGTATAAAATTCATACTTCCTAAAGCATCAAAGTAGAAGATGGAAGATTTTAGCCATTTGACTTTTTTTTCTTGCAGGAGAACAGGAAAACATTAACTTCAGAGAAGGTCAGATGGAGACATTTTGGAAGAAAAAGACATTAGAACGTTACTGGTCCCCCAAACTCCAATGGATCTAGAAGCTCTTATTTTGTGTAAACTGGCTTAAATTCCAGGTGGAATGAGATTCAGAAATTGACTAGAAACCTTTTCAATTTTTCCTGAGTGATTTTTACCAAGGCAGCAGGAAAAAAAAATCAGAGAGGTTGCTGTCTGACCCATCTCCAAAACGCCAACCCCAATCCCGCACTAGAGCGAGTCGTGGCTTGGAATGTTCCAGTCCTTTAAACTTTCCCACCAATGAGCAGCAAACGGGCCTGGAGATGTGCAAAGAAACCAGGAAGCTGTGTCAGATTCCGCCTCCTGGACCCCAGTTAAGAGATCTCTGTTAACAGGAAATAGAAGCTTTCCAGTGTCACCAGTTTCACCGTCACCAGTTCCTATCGGCTCTTGAATTTATAGCTGAGAATTCAGAAAAAAATCACATTTATCCACCAGGGAATCATTTTTCCATAAAGGCTCTGTGCTGGGATACTAGGTGGCCTACAATCTTGTCCTCAATCTCTACGCCTTGGGCAATTTCCTCCTCTGAGATGGACAACGGGGTTTCTGACTCCTTAGTGACCACGATCACTGTGGTTCTTCGCGAGTCCAGGGTGTTGGCAACGACCACCTGATGGTTGTATTTGGCCAGGGCCTGCCTGGCTTTCTCAACCAGGATCAAAGGATCAGTTTCCAACTTGAAGGAGATCACAAATGCCTCAGGGGCCCATTCCTTAACCAGCGGAGACAGCATTTTGGGTACCATCTTCATGGTTATCTGCAACAAGGGAAGCAGAGAGAATTTAGCAAAAGGCAGGCACATTTTCAATCCAGAGAAGAAATAGCAACAATTGCTACTCATGGCACTCTAATGAGTTTCTTCTCCAAAGCGCCAGAAGGCAGGACAATAAACAACAGATGGAAACTAATCAAATAGAGAAGAAACCTAGAACTTCAGGAACAATTTCGTGGCAGTGAGGACAGTGGAAGTTCTGGTCTTCAGACACTGTGGGTGCTCCAAGAAACTGGAGGTTTCTAAGAGGAGACTGGACAGTCATTTGCCTGAAATGGTAAAGAGCAGAGCGCTGGACTAGAAGACCCCAAAGCTCCCACCCAACTCTGTTATTGTTGTCACCTTTGGCCCCTTTCCAGCTCTCTCTGTCTCTCCGAATTCTCCCACTTTTCTATCTCACAGCTGCCATCCTTATGAAAGGGCATCTCTTACCTGGAGGGGCCCATCGGAAGACTGGATTTTATGTTCAGGCATCTCTGAAGGGGGGATATAGAAATCTGACACAGCTGCTGCCAGGTAGAACATGGCGCTGGAACCTGATGGAGCAGAGTGTGAAAAACACGGGGATGAAAGGAAATCCAGCTGCTCCATCCTTCCAAAATAAAACCGTAAAAGCTACATTGTCTGCTGACAATTCTACACTTTAATAACTATACAACCTTGAACTGATATGGCAAGCCATTATTATGCTACCAAGGAAAAGATTGACTCAAGCTGGCAAAACATATGTAATGCTCCTTCTTCTTCCCATTTTCCCAGAAAAAGACTATGAGGTAGGTTAGGCTGAGAAAGAGGGACTGGCCCAAAGTTGTTCAGTGCCTGAGAGAGACCTAGCATTCCCAGGTTCCTGGGCACCTTGACCAACTGTAGTATTTCCATGTATTGTATTTACTCTTACTGTAATAGTGTTTACATGCATTGAATTGGCTCTATTTCCAGCTACTGTACTTCAGTTCCTGTCTTAGCTTGTTTGCATGTAGTGTTTGCATGGATTGTTTTAGATATATTTGCATTTAAGGTATTGAACTTACTTTTTCACTTAGTTTTTGCATGGATTGCATCAGCTGCACTTGCAACTATTCTAATAACAAATGTTTGTATGCGCCGGCGTGTTTTGGCATGCCTGGCTTGCATTGCCGTCCTGCCTTTCATGTAAAGGCCTTTGCACGTCTGTCTCCCTCCCTCCCAGGCCTCCAGCGGGGCCTCACCGAGCGGGGCGAGGGCGCGGGCGGCGGCGCGCAGCAGGGCCAGATATTCGGCCAGCCCGGCGAACTCCAGGGCCAGGAAGGCGCCGTCGTCCCGGGCCCGGCCGTAGGCGCGCAGGGCAGGCAGGAGGGCAGGGAGCGCTCCCTCGCGCACGCGCACCGCCCCGTCCTCCTCGTGCACGCGCAGCAGGTCCAGCAGGGCCGAGCCGGGCGGCGGCAGGGCGCGCGCCCAGGGAAAGGCCGAGCGCGTCCGGTGGAGGAAGCAGACCCCGTAGCCGGCCGCCGCCAAGCGCTCCGCCGAGGCCGCCCCGCGCCGCCCGCTGCTGAAGTTCTCCAGGAAGCGGACCGCGCGGGCCTCCAGCGGCACCTGCGTCCCGCCGGACGTCACCAGCGCCACACGACGGCCGCCAGCCCGCTGCGCCTCCGCCCAGGCCCGGACGCGACGCTCCGCCTCGGCCGTCGCCGCCGCCTCCCGCTCCCAGGACGCCGCCATCGTCCCCGCAGCCGCCATTGCTGTCGACTCGGCCAGAAGCCCCTCCTCCCGCGCCTGCGTGCAACTATCGTTCCGGGAACTAGTCAGAGCGCCTTTCCGGGAAGCAACCGGAACTTTCTCGCCGAGCGCTTCATGGCACGACGGCTGCTACTTGTTGCGCCTGTGCGCCACGCCCGTCACAATCAGAGCGCTATTCCGGAAATCCTAAGCGGATATGGCGTATAAGATGGACATTTTTCGAGCATGATGGCGGTCGCCGGAAGCCCCGCCCCTCCCTTGGCAACGGCAGCCCTAGCAACGGCGGCGGGAGAAGATGGCCATGCAGACGGAGTGGCTGGTGCCTCTGGCTCAGCCCCGGCAGAAGAAGCGGCGCTGTGAGCTCTGCCTCGGTCCCGCCACCGTCCGCTGCGCCGCCTGCTTGGTCACCTACTACTGGTGAGTGGCCGGCAGGCGGGGCTCCGTCCGGGGAAGAGCCCGGGTGGGTTGCAGCCGTTGCAACGGACTGTTTGCTGCTGTAATTCTCCGCTCCAAGTGCGGGCCTTCAATACTCAGCCAAAGATTTAGCTGTAAAGTAGGTCAGAAGAATGTTAACAGGTGAAAAACTATGTAAAATAGACTTTATACAACAAGAACAACCACAACGATAACGATAACGATAACAATAACAATAACAATAATAATAATAATAATAATAATATATGCAGGGAAAGAGCCCAAAAGTACATGGTCCTCAACATATGCCCAAAATTTCCATGGCTGAGACGGTTGCTAAGTGAATCCCCCCTCTCCCCAGTTCGCGATGTTTCTCCACAGGATCTTTCAGCCAGTCGCTCTTTTCAGTGCCGCTGCCACTTCTTAAGCCCAGCACCCATTCAACGCATTCCTACTTGCGTTTTCGTCTTCTTACCTGGCAATATGGGCAGTCCTGGACTTACGGCCGCAGTCGGGACCAAGATTCCTGTTGCTAAGCAAGGCGGACATTATTTTAACCCCTCTTCTCCCCCCGCTTGCCTTTCGCCAGCGACGTGGACCACCAGAACGCCGACTGGGTCAGCGTCCACACCAAGATCTGCCAGCTGCTCATCCCGCTGCGGGCGGCTCCCCCCTTCTACACCTCGGAGAAGGAGCGGAAACTCGGGGAGGAGCAGAGGCGGAACCGAGAGGTACGCCAGGCGGTCCTCGACCTACAACCACTGGGGAGAGCAGAATTTGCTAAGCAAGGCAGTTCTTAAATGAGCTTTGGCCCATTTTACAACCTTTCTTGTTGCAGCTGTTAATTTAGTAACACGGTTGTGAAGTCCCTGACTTCCCCATTGACTTTGCTTGTCAAAAGGTCACAAAAAGAGGACCATGTGACACACCCCCCCCCCGGGACACTGTGACCCTCATAAATGCAAGTCAGTCGCCAGGCGCCTGAATTTTGATTATGGGACCACAGGGATGCTTGCAAGGTGTCGAGGGTGAAGAATGGTCCCTTTTTTAAGGGCTGTTGTAACTTCCAAATGGTCACTAAACAAATGGCTGTAAGTCGAGGACCACATGTACCACGCCTCTTTCCTCAAAACCTACTAGAAGAAAATAACAACAATCGACCCCCACCCCACCCCACCCCCACAGATATTCCTGGCTGAAGTGACTTACGAGACGGCCCAGAATTTTCTCATCAAGGGCCACTATGAAGATGCCATCCCAGCCGCCCTGCACTCCCTGAAATTCAGCATCAGCATCTATGGCCCCAGTGCGGTGGAGCTGGTTCCCGCCTACATCCTCTTAGCCGAGACCAGCTTGGGTGAGTTCCAGGGTGGGGGGGGGGGGGAGGGATTAGGGGAGGAGGCCTCAACTGTTGTCTGATTGAGAAGTGGGTGCTTGTCTGTCTGTCTTCCTGTCTTGCTATCCTGTCTGTCTGTCTGTCTATCTCCATCTTCTCTATCTATATATCCATCGATCTCTATATCATCCATCACATCATATCGTATCTGTCATATCCACCCCTCTATTAAATTGTTGCCCATCTTATTTAAAAGTGACCTCAAGCTTATGGCCTGATTTGTGATCTTTCCAGCTGGCTCCTGCCGAGCAAAGTCAATGGGGCAAGCTGGATGTGTTTAAGAACCACAGTAAAGATGGTTGTAAAATTGGGTCCGGTCACGTGACGCCTCGCTTTATGAACAACTTCACTGTTCTTTTCTGAACTGAGTCGGGAATAGCGCTCCCAAAGTAGTTTGGATCTGAGCTTTGTGCCTGCAGCAGGCATTCTGTCTCTGCACAGACCAAGATTCCTCGCTGGTTTCCTTTCCTTGCGTGACGTGGCTGTGTTGGTTTTCCAGGCCTGGGTCACTTGTCGCAAGGTGAAGAGTACCTCTCCCAGGGCCAGTGGATCGTCCTCAAGAACACCCACTGCAGCTATGCCATTCAGTCCAAGCTGTATCGCAACCTCGGGCTCCTGCACGCCGCCAAAGGGAACTTCGATGAGTCTTTGTACCACCTGGCCAATGATGTGAGGCTCAGCAGGCAGAGGCACCCGTTGGGGGCCTTTCTCTTTTCCTTGAGAGGGGCGCTTCAGAAGGAGCAGCCACCCCAGGAGGGAGGAGGGGGTCACGGTCTGACCCAGGGGGAGTCGAAAAGGCAGAGTCGTTTCTTGATTAATTAAAACCAGACTCAGAGGGACTGAAATCCTTTCCAGTTATGAAAGCCCTGTGAGGGCCGGGCTGAGTCCCAGGTCAACCACAGAGTGGGTTTGCGTAACACGGAGAGGTTATTGAGAACTTCCTGCCTTCCCAACGTGATTGGAATCAGATGGGAACTTCAGTTTAAGTCCAGGGACTGAACACAATCTGAGAGCAGCCTCCTCAAGGATACTCCTCAGGGAGTATTGAGAGAACGTTTGCAGCTCAGGGTGAACCAGTGGGGCCCTGGGGGCTCTCTTTGCAGATGTTTCAGGGCCCAACTACGTAACTTTATCAGTGCTAGAAGGGAGTGGGGTTTGTGGAGGGGGAGGAGGAGGAGGAGAAGAAAGGCTGCGGGGTCCTTGGATCTCTGAGCTTGGTGGTTTTCTTGCCAATGTTTCACTACAAAACTACCCCCCTCCCCCTCCCCAAACCGCCTTTCCCGTCAGCTTCCACCAAGAGGCCTTATTGTGCGTCCCTCTCAACTCCTCCCCAATGGATTCCACCGCAGGTATATTTTGCGTGTTGTGCTTTTGGGACAACGAGCAACGTGGCCGTCTCCGGAGGCTACTTCCACATGGCCAACGTGTTCTCCCACCAGAATAAGATGGACGTTGTGGATTCCTTGTATTGTGAGGTCAGTGCACACACACACACACACACACACACACACACACACCCCTCCCCACAGACCCGGCTGGGAGTTTAGATGCAAGTGAGAATGAGTTCTCAGGCAGTAAAAATAGTTAAAAGGTTTAAGGGTTTACCCCACCCTAAAATGTTAGGCTCATGCCACTCAGCCCCCTTGATTAAATTCAAATAACCCTCCTTATTGTTATTATTATTGGAGCTTCCCCGTTTTCCCCCTCAGGTGGTTGATCTCTGGTACGATCACTTCAGCCACTTCGTTGAAATCCAGTACCAAAAACTGATCACTCCCGCAGAGGTGGACCTTCTGTCTGTAGAAGACGGGGTAGAAGAGGACGTACTGGGTAAGGAGCGCCCCCCCCTTCCCCTCCCCCAGAGTCCCTCACACCCTTCCCCACAGTTGAGACTCTCCCTCCTCTTCCTCCTCCAGACGAGAAGCAGCAGGCCGAAGCGATGCAGATGCTCAACTCCATCTTGCACTTCCGAGAAGCGTCTCTCAGGCCGCAGCCGGAGAAGGAGGCCAAACTGCTGCACGCCTTGGCCATGTTTCATTTCTTGGTCCACAATCTGGCAAAGGTCATTGGAAAAAAAATGCAAGTTTTGCAAAGCTTGAAGGGGGGGGGTGGGGGTGCTGGAAGGCAAAAGTCACAGAAGAGCCCAGGCCAAGAAAATGACAGAATGTTGTAAGGGTCATTGAAGGTCTTCTAGTCCAACTGACCCCCTGCTCAAGCAGGAGACCTCAGGCCGTTCCGGGCAAGTGGCTGCCCGATGTCTCCTTAAAAGCCTCGCCTAGAGCTTCTGGAGGGTAGCAGTTCCCCTGGTTTATTGTCCTCACTATCAGGAAGCTCTGGGGCTTTGGAGGGATGGGTCCACCCCCTCTTCTTCTTCTTCTTCTTCTTCTTCTTCTACTTCAGGGAAGCCCCTCAAATATTGGAAGGCTGCTCTCCGGTCACCCCCGATCCTCCTCCTCCTCTCTAGACAAGGCAGACCAAAGAACACGAGGAACCGTCTTACATCCCCCCTTCCCTAGTCTACACAGAGAAAGGCAGCAAGCACATTGGAACTTGCAAGGGGGGAAAAAACACCCAGCTGTTTGGGTTTAACTTTATTTGCCCTCTTCTTTCTTCTCCCCCTTCTCAACGTGCCTCGTTCCAGGCGGACGAATTTGTGATGAGATTTCTACAAACCACACAGTCCCTGCCCAAATGCGACCCGAACGAATCGCTCTACCACCTGGTCAAACTGATCAAGTCCAAGGAAGAGCAGGCCAAGTAGCTCTTTCCAACTCCCTCAAGGTAAGCAGCCACCAGCCGCCGCTCATCTCGGGCCTCCTTTTGCCAGCCGTCTTTCCGGTTCCAACGAAAAGGGTCTGTCTGACGTCTCTGTGGGATGACAATGGTTGGGGGACTCTTGCACAACCCTCCTGGGAGGCAAGATCCGGGTGACCTGCAAGGGAGCAGGGACAGGGAGCCGTGAAAGGGTGGAAAGGACACTTGTCCCTTCTCCACCCTCGGGGCCGTGGCAGCGTCCCCAGGGTCACGTGATCAACGTCCAGGGAGAGGCCAGATTCACTTAAGAGCCATGTGGATCCCTTAACCAAAGTGGCAAGAAGAGTCGTGAAATGGGACAAAACTCACTTAGCAAATGTTTCATAAATCGTGGGCTCCATTGGGGTTGTAAGCCGAGGGACCACCTGTATGTCCCAAGGGGTGGCCAGCAGGTGCTTGGTTCACACACCCTGCAGAACCCAGGTCTGTTTAGCCAGAGTTGGTTGAAGAGGCACCACTGGCCGTAGTCGCCCCACGCACAGCAAACCATAAACCTCTCTGGGTCTGAACGAAAGGGCCCAATTGTCAAAGCCTGAGAGGTAATGATTATCTTTTTTAATTTCTCTCTCTATGGAGCTCTGTGAAGGAGAATCGGAGCCGCCTTGGGAAGAGGAGAATGTGGGTGGGGGGACGGAAGCCATTTCTGGGGAGAGCCCCTTTGCTATCATCCCAGTGTCAGGACGTTTTCACATTTCTTTTGGTTTGAGGCCGGGATGAGTCCCCAGAGAGCAGCCAAAGGCATGGATGGTCCCATCTAGGAGGCTGTTTCGCACCCTGTGGGAAGGGGGCTGTACACATGCACCATCCAAAGGAAACACCCCCCCCCCCCATGGACTCTTTGGCTGCAGGAGGTGCCTGCTACTTCTGATTGTTCGTCAAATCCTCGCTTTTATTGTTCGTGTCATTTCAAACTGACCCAGATGAATGTGGTGCCTCTGGCGTTTCTCAGAGGGTGGGATGCAGCTGAAGGGGAGGTGCGGGTGGGCGCAGGCTTTCCGGCCCTGTTGATCAGGGGGAGGGGGCTCTCTCTCGGGGGTATCTCTGGCCTTTCCTTCCATCTGCAGGGGGTGGGGGGGAGGCTAAGACCCAGCAGAGAAGTTTGAGGGAACCAAGTCAAGTCCTTCAGTGGGCAGTTCTCCCCTAACCACCCTCCTCCCGCTGCTGCTGCTACTTAAAAAGAAGTTTAGGAAACCAGCAACCTCTAAAAGCCGGTGTGTGTGTGTGTGTGTGCGTGTGTGCGTGTGTGTGTGTGTGGAATCACCACCACCAGGAGATCCCTCGTCCCGCGAGTCTGGTGGGCACGGCTGCTCTTCCAAACGTCCTTCTAAGCAGCGGGGGACCCCCCTCCTTTCTCTCTTCTGAGGGCTCCCCTGCTCCGTTCCTGCTGTTCGTCTTGAGGACTCGGCCTCTCCCCAAACATCCTGAGTGGCTGCCCGGGATTGGGGTGCAGCAGTCGCTTCCCAGAATCCCCTCGTGTCCTTTCTGGCTTTCCTTCTCTCCCTTCCCCCTGGGCACTTCAGGAAAGAGCTTCCCTCCCCCGCCCTCGACCTCACACAGTAACACAGCAGAACACAAAAGTTAGCATTTTTAAAAAAAAAAACCTAGAAATGTAATTCTTTTATTCAAGTGCGGTTACGTGGATGCCTTCGGTTTACAAACAAATAAATAAAATATACATATATTATTAAATAGGCGCATTTAATTGTCTTGCTTCAGGATTTTTCTTTCTTTTTGCAAACCTGTCGAGGACTAGCAAACACAAAACAGGAAAGGCCTTTTTTATATTTTTTAAACCACGTTGGCTGACTAGACTAAAGAAAAACCTAACGTTATCAGTGCAACGAGTTCTGCTACAGTGCAGGTGAGATACTCTATATAAAAAAAATAAGTTTATCGCAGTCAAATACAGCTTTTAATGACAGCTAGAGAAACTAGAACTATTCAAGAATCCTGTATTTGCAGGAAATACACTATTGGAAACAATGCTATAACTTATCACCCTGCCTATGTGAGACAGGAACCAAAAAACATATATACATACATAGTAATATAAATATTTTTCAGTCTAGAAAAGCTTGGAAAAAGGGTGCAGCTATTCTCATGGGGGGGGCGGGGCGGAAGGGGGGGTTAGAATGGGGTGTTGAGTGAGTTCAGTTGCCGACGACCAAGAGACAGCAGAACTGCGTCTTCCTCAACTCTTCTGCAGAGTGGGTGCAAGGAGGTGGGTGGGTGACATTCTTGCCCCAGTGTAGGACATCCGGAGTTGTTTGTTGGCTTTTGGGGGTCAATTTCCAGGGCAGAGAGACCTCCTTTCTCTCCAGAGGCCGTCAGTTGGGGCTGTCTTCGGCCAAGCCGGGGAAATGTCCTTTTTTTGAACCCAGGACCACCCGCCCTGCACCTGGCGGAGCCTGGACTTAGACCAACCTCACCCTGGGCAGGAATCTGAGGGAAAGTCTTCCTGAAAGGGGAAGAATTTCTCTCTCTCTCTCTCTCCCTCTCTCTCTCTCTCTCTCTCTCTCTTCCTCGCCCTCTTTCCCCCCCCCACCCCCCATCCAGGGGATTTTGACCCACCCACCTACAGCAAGGGTGGGCCAGGTGTGGGAGGTCCACCTCGCAGGCTCCTCTCAAGCACTTGAACCAGCACCGTCTGCCTTCAGCCGCTCGAACTGAGAAATGCCAAAACCTCCCCCGCCTCCCCCCCCAGGTCAGGACAGCTACCGCTCACCCCAAAGGTTAGCCGGGCGCAGCTCTGCCAGGGGATGCATCGTCTTCCCTTCCCAAACTCCCTCAGTTCTTTCGTTCGCCTCCCTTGGCTCCCCTCGCTCTGGAGGGTGGACCCTTGGGCAGAGGGAAGGGGCAGCCAAGAACTTGGTTCCTGCCAAAGACAGTTTCCTCTTGACTGTTAGATAACAACCTCCGTAAGCTGCGGTGAAGAACCAAGGGCTTAAATCTTGGGGGTGGGGGGTTTTTTGGGGGGTGGGGGTGCTGTTGCACTTTCTCACTCCCCTCACCTGTAAAAAAAACAAACCCCACACCGTCCCTCTGAGGATGTGACTGCCACTCCCCAAAGAACGTCCCTGCCTCCGCTCAGTTCTTCTCCCCAACTTTTCAAACGCCGGCCTGGAGAGCCCACCCGATCCCCCCCCCCCCCCCCCCCCCTCTCCTTTTCCGAAGTCCCCCCCCCCCCCCCCCCCCCCCTCATCTTGCATTTAACCTGCGTTCAACGTTCTGCCTCGGGCGACGCAAGGGGCTTTTCTGGTGGGGGAGGGCGAAGGTGAGGTGCTTTTTCTCCTTTATAAAACAAAGAGGAAAAAAGAGTAGAGCCAGGACGGGGGCAGAAGCGCCGTCTCCTCAGGGATGAGGCCACGGAGGGGAACCGGGGCTTCTGAACGCTTTTGGCAACGTTGAAATCCTGGACCCGAGACCAGCAGCTGAGGGGTCTTTCCCTAGGGAGCTACGAGGCGGGCTCGCTGCCCAGAGACCAGGCCGTGGGGCTGGAGTCAGGACCCAAACACGTTTCTTCGCCCCGGGCCTGGCCTGGTAACAAGCATGTGGAGAGGAGGACGGGCAGGAGGACAAGAGTGAGGCGGAGGAGATGCCTGCCCACCTCCTGAACTTTAGACCTGGGAGTCAGCGCCCAAGCTGTGGAACTCATCTAGGGCCTTGTCTCCATGGGCGGCATCCCCTTGGCGGAACTCGGAGGCGATCTCGTCAAAGGTCCGGCCCTTGGTCTCGGGCACCTTGAAGTAGGTGAAGATGAAGAAGAGGATCAGCAAGATGGTGAAGATGACGAAGACGTAGGCCCCACAGAAGTCCTGCAAGAGAAGAAGAGGAGGGAGGGGCATCATGGCTCTGCTTCACGTCGAGTCAGGGGGAGGCTAGCTAGGGATGACTCTACCCGCCAAGTCAAGAAGGTTGGGTGGACAACCTCCTCTTGAGAGCAACCAACCAGTGGGACCGCTTGCCTCCAGAAGTTGTGAATGTTCCAACGCTGGAGGTTTTTAAAAAAGAGATTGGATAGCCGTTTGTCTGAAATGGAATAGACTCTCCTGCTTGAGCAGGGGATTGGACTAGAAGACCTCCAGGGTCCCTTCCCTTATTCTATTATTCTTCCAGACGTAAAAGCAGCCACTGAGTTCCTCAAGAACGAAGAGAGGGCAGTTGGGTAGCTAGAGCGTTCCACTTTCAGAAGTATACCAAAGTGGCAGGTCTACCCAGCCATCCTTGGTGGCTCTACTTCTCTCAAGAAGGATGGAGTAACATAGAAGGAAGATGTCAAACTGGGAAGAGCCGAAGGAAGCTTAGATGCCTCAAAACGCCCTCCCGCTTCTTGGTCGCTTTGCCACAGACCGCCCCCTGGGAATTAACCACGTTTGTGATGTCCCTCTCCAATGCCCTTCAGCGCTGCACACTCACCGCCACATACTGAAAGCCCATCCCTACAATGAAGTTGGCGGTCCAATTGGACAGCCCTGCAACGGCGATGGCAGCAGGACGCGGGCCTTGGCTGAACAGCTCCGCCACAATGAACCAAGGAATGGGCCCAGGACCGATTTCGAAAAATGCCACGAAGCCCATGATGGCAACGATGCTGAGATAGGACATCCATGGCACTTGAATCTAGCAGAGAAAGAAAAAGCAAAACAGAATCAGGGAAACAGCCTTTAATTGTATTTCCCATCAGTTTTGGTGGCATTCCAGAGGGTTCCTCCCCCTCAGATCTTAGCTTCTTCAGAGACAAATTCCTTGTGTGACCAATCCCATTTGGCCAATAAAGAATTCTATTCTATTCTCTATTCTCATAATTTCAAGGTTCAATTCCTGTGCCAAGAATCAGCCATATGGGATGGTTAGTGAAAACATCAGGATCCTCCTCATTTACCATCCATCCTCTGGGACCCCTGATGGATCCATGTTTGCCACTCACCAGCAGTGCCAGGGCGATGGTCATGAGAACCGCACATATGGCCATCCCCAAGAGTCCGATGAGGTGCAATGTCCTTCGGCCAGCCCGTTCTACCACAAACAGCTTCAGAGAGAGAGAGAGAGAACAAGGGAGATACATCAGCATGGAATCCATGGGAGGTCCCTCCTCAAAATCATCAAAAGAACTTCGGGGAGACCACACAGAGGGGTCAGATGTCGTGACCCTGGGTGAGTCGTTGACCTCGCCATGTACAAATCAACTTTGAGGAAGTAGCTGTTGATTCAGATTGACCTTTATTCATCTGCACAATTATATTCTATGGAACTAGCACCCCTCTGCAGGTCACCTGAAAGGTTCTGGCTGAAGAAGCTTCTTGGATGAGAAGCGAAACGTCTTCAGGGAAAGACAGAGGTTGCCTTTGGGACAGCCCTAACCAAGCAAGAAATCGCCCTACTCACCGAGACAACTGTGAAGGCTGTGTTGACAACTCCAGCCCCAATAGTGGCGTAGACAGGTTGCTGCACTCCAGCTTTTTGAAAGATACTTGTGGAGTAGTAGAAGACCTTGGAGAAGGGAGAGAAGGAGAAGAAGGTCAACACAATGGGGCTTGAAGAGCACTCGGTGGCATTGTTGGGGCGTTGGTGGAGAAAGGATGCTGTCCAGATGCAATGAGGAACATGCTGTCCTGCTCAACGGGGTCAAAACCAGCCCCAACATTTCACCTCAATTTCTCACCAACCCCATATTTACCGCGTTGATCCCTGAAAGTTGTTGAGAGAGCTGCAGTACGATGGCAATCAGGAGGGGCTGGCGGTAGATAGGAGAACGGAAGAGTTCCAAGATGGTGACCTTCTTCTCCTGAAGCATTTGCCGGCTCTCCTCTTTCATCTCCTGAAGGTCTCTGCTGACATCAGTCGTCCCACGGAGCTTCTTTAGGACTTGAGAGAAGAACAGATGCTTCGTAAACCAGACTCTCAACTCAACAGTTGGGGCCCCTGGTCCTCAAAATGTGGCTTCCTCCCTCTCCACAGGAAGGAGCTTCTGGTGTTGGGTGGGATCCAGACTAAGGAAGACGGCCTTGGGGGAGATGCAGAGGAACCAGAAGGGGCTGGAGCATTTTTAATGGACCAGAAGAGCCAAATAATGTCCAGAATTAGTTCGGACAGACACCTTTCTAATTCACTGGAGTATAAGGAGGGGAAACCCAATCAGATTTACACATTTTGGTCACTGTGGCTAATCTCAAATAAAACACTTTTAGCCTTTCTGCTGGAGTTGATTTCCTAATCTGGTCTATCTTGGTGGGACTCGGAAGTTCTTCTCTCAACTGCGTTTCTGTCTTTCTCTATTTCTGACTCTGCTTCATATGGACGTCAGAAGTTGTGGCTGCCCCAACACTGGCGGTTTTTAAGAAGAGATTGGACAACCATTTGAAATGGTGGCAAGAGGAACAAAGACAATGTCATTGACACCCCTGGTTTCAGAGCGACTTCCTCCAGAACTGACCTACATCAGGATATGCTGGCCTTAAATAAACCCTTGAGGACTACATGAGAACATTTCAAGATGATCCGGTCTGCCCAAGATCAGGAGACCTGGAAAATCTGGAGATGGACTTGATCTTGTAGACCAAGAGAGAGGTCCACCATGGAGAAATGAAGACCACCCAGAAATCCGAAAGGCTTAACCTGTCCGTCTCAGCTGCTGGTGGGAACTTACCGTTCTTCGCTTTGTTCTCCTCGTTGCGGTTAATGAGAAGGAAACGGGGGCTTTCGGGAGCAAAAGGCATCAGGATGCACTGGGCCAAGGAGGGGATGAAGGTGAACCCCAGCAGCAGCGGCCAGAGGTTTTCGTTTCCCATGATGAGGTCAATACCGAAAATCTGTGAAAAGGGCACAGTTGGGAAGGTGAGAATTGAAGTCCAGGAGACGTGAAGGTCACGCTTGTTTCTCGGAAAACCAGGAGGAGCAGATCCAGACCGTTCCCAAGAAGACCTGAGGTCCTGCTCAGTTCCTCACACGTGTGGTTGGACTAGGCTTTAAACTGAGCTGGAGGGAGATGATGGTCTTCTGGATTTCCTCTTTCTACCCCAGGTTGTCACACAGCTCTTCTCCTCCATTGTGTTTTGTGTGGTGTGTGCTTACTTGTGCCACAAAGACTGCAGCCCATTCCTGGATTCCTCCAGATCAGGCCAAGGAACAAGGTGGCTGCACCGGGCAGAACTAAGCGTGATGGGCAAGACATTCCCATCTTGAAACTCTGCAAGCTTCAAGGACCCTGTTTCTGGTTGGGGAAATGGCCTCTTGGACCCTCAACCTGCTCCTGGTCGGACAAACTTCTCAGAATTTGAAATCCTGTGGGATTTTGGTGGGCTCTTGAACTGTGACTGTTTCAATCCAGCCATTTTGACGTCGTACACCTTGAACATTTGGTCAAGATCTGCAGGAGACCCAAAAGGGACCTTAAGGGTCCATCCTTCCCCCTCAATAGACACCCCCCCGAGTCTCTCACCTGTGCAATCAGGATCCCCACCACGACCCCAAGCTGGTGGAGGGTTCCTAACGCCCCCCTCAGAGACGTGGGGGACACTTCGCCCACGTACATGGGCACGAAGCCAGTGGTGAGGCCCGAGTAAATGCCCACGATGAAGCGACCGAGGATCAACATCTCAAAGGAACCGGCCATCTTGGAGAAGCCCATCAGGATGGCCGAAAGGAAAGCGAGAGAGTTGGACATCAGCATGGAATTCCTCCTGGGAAGGGGAAGAGGAAGGACAAGGTCTGTCAACGCAACAGTTGGGATCAAAGGGAAGGAGAAAGTTGGCTTTTCTCCTGCAGGAGCTGAGGGTTGGACTAGAAGACCACCCAGGGTCCTTCCTTTCAACTCTGTTACTCCGTTACTTACCGTCCAAAGCGGTTGACGAAGAGCCCAACTGAGAACGACCCAACCATCCCACCGACTGAGAAGATGGACACCGAGAGAGACCAGAGGGTGGTCAGCATGCCTGGGGTGATGTACGTCTCGTATCGGTTGAACCATGTTTGGTTGTAAAATTCTTCTATCACCTGCAAAGAAGAGGAGGAGGAGGAGGAGGACTTTACTGGGCTGCAACCAGGTGGTTTCTGCCCCACCCAAGATTTTTCCACCAGTCAGCCCCCCCCCCCCCCACTTCAGGAGGATTGGGTTGACCCCCCACCTGGCCGGAGGTGGCCTCGGAGGAGCTCCTTCCCTAGAAGTTCCCTAGTGTCCAGGAAGGCTTTCCGTCAGTGTGGCTGGCGCCCATCCTGGTAATGAGCCTTAGGCACTTCCTCTTCCCCATCCAGACATTGTGCCACCAGCCGGCCGTGGTGTTTGAGGGCAAACGGTTTTGTGATTCAGCCTGAGGAATTCATTTATGGCTTAGGGACAACACTTCTTCGACTTGTTCTGAGTCAAGGAGACTTCGGGCGAGTGTGCCACACGAGTGCAGTTGGTGGGAAGGACACAGAAGCCAACCTTGCCTGCAGAAGACGGGAGGTTCTCCAGCAGGGCCGGGAGATCTCGGCCTTGAAATCCAGACTATGTTCCCAACGCAAAGAGCAGAACAACCCAGGATTATCACGAGGTCGCAGCAAAGTGACCCAGAGAACTCTGGGCGGCCTCCACGGGGTTGCTGGTGTTTTTAGTGAAATCGTTGGCTGCTCAGAAGAAGGAGAAGCTGAGCCAGAGGCTCCCTCTGTGATAGCAGGCAGAATGGGCCAAGGATCCGCCTCCCCTGGTGTAGGGCATCCCCAGCCAGGGCAAGCTGACCCGTTGCTTCTCCTGGGCCGAGGGTTGTTTTTTTGGATCCACCAGTGTCTTTTTTCCACCAGAGGGTGGCAGTGGTCCAGCTGGCCTGCCAGGGACGGGCACTTGGCCAAGCAGGTTACAGTGACCTAGAAGGAAATAGGACCTCAGGTGGAGGGAAAGAGCTTCTGGGATGTCAGGTGGCTGCTGAGTCACGATGGAAGGGCTGAAATGGGAGGAAGGGGCCTGTGGGGTGAGGCGGACTCCTTTTCCTAAGCAGCAGCAGCAGCTCTTCCTCCTCCTCCTCCTCCTCCTCCTCCTCCATCTTCACTTAACCGGTTTTCTCCTTCGCCTTAAATGTTCTCTACGTCTCCTTCACGTTCTTCACCTCCTCCTCCTCCTCCTCCTCCACCTTCTCTTTCTTCTCTTCTCCTCCTGGGAAGTGGGGCCATACAGTCTGTTGTTGTAGGCTCACCTCTCTTTGTCCTGCTTTCTTTTCCAGCAGGGTGTCCTTCGGGGTGTGTTTTGTGTGTGTGTAAACACAGGCGGAGAGGATGGGTGCTGGGGATCAGGGTGGAAGCAGCATTCCACAGATACGGGTGTGGATGGTCAAGGCAGCTCAGGTTTCCTCCCCCACTGAAGGGTGGCCATCCTTTGATGCTCCTCCAGACTCCGGGGCTCCGACCCAGTCCTGCTCTACGGAACGAGGCTCTCCTTCAAAGGCCCATGGACACAACGCTACGGGGCGCCTGTCTTTGCAAAGGAAAGCAACCACATCTCCACTATCCAGGGAACAAAAGGTTCCAGGTGCTTTCAAGACTCAAAAATGCACAGCGGCCTAACCGCCTCTTAGAGGAACCAGGGTTTGTGGAACAGAAGCACAATTTGCTGGGGAGACACCGCCTCTCAAACCGGTTCAGGTGCAGGGGGAGAAACGTCCTTGGCCCAACGGGGCCGGGTCAGCCTATTCTCCGAGGCTTTGGAGACACTGAGGCCAAGCCGAGGTGGCCGGCATCTTCCCCTCCGCCCCGGGGCAGGAAGGAGCCTCCTGTCAACGATCTTAAGTGCCCAGCCCAGATTAGGCAGCGCTTCCAAGGCCTCTCCAGACCTCCCTGTCGCTTCCCCTGGGGGCGCGGGGGGGGGGGGGCGAGTCTGGCAATGATGCAACCCCCCAAGCAATGAACTCTAGTCTCCTGTCCTTGGCCGGAGGGCGGCCAGAGTCCCGGTCAAAGGGGACGAAGGAGGCACCTTCAGTGGGGCTCCATTCTTCCTGGACGGAAGCAACCTGTGACCTGCTTGTTCCACTGTTGTGTCAGTCATTGTTTTCCGGGGTTTCTTTCATCTGCTTTTCCCAGAGTTTCCAGCCGCCTTTTCCTGACTTTCACCTCCCAGCTCAATCCACAGGCTGCTCACTTGCCGGGGCTGTGTTGAAGGAAGGCGCCTTTGGAACACACCAAACTATTTTTTACATGACCAGAAGGACTCGGTCTGACAGGAGAGCAGCCTTCCAGTCTTCCCCGGAGTACGCCTTGTTTTACGGACAGTCCTCGTTTGAAGTTACAACAGACCCCCAAACAACCTGCTTCCAAAATCCCAATGGCAACACAGACACACAGACACAGAGCTACTAAATGGCCGCACTTTGTGTGCCCGGCACCCTCTCCCCTCGGACAGCCAGTCACAGCATGACAACATTTACAAAGTTTTGCACTGGTTTCTAGCAATAGGAACCAATGGATTTGCTTAGAGATTGTGCTGCTCACTTCACAACCCATTTGGGGCTCTCTGCGGCCAGCTGGCCCTCCTGAAGCTGTGTGTTTTTGTGTCGGAAGGCAGTGTGGCCCTTACCATCTGCGGTGCATTGATGACTCCGGTGTTATACCCGAACTGCAGTGACCCCAACACGGCACCCCCGACGGCCAGCAACAACTGGGCAGTCATCTGTCGAGAGAGAAGGAGGAGCAAAGCGCAAAGTTAGTCCAAGGGGGAAAACCTCTCAAAGGACGGAGCAGCAACTGGCGAAACTGGGATACGCCACCCAGCCCCCGACGCCAACTGGCGAGGCTCAGGCTGTGACGTTGGCACGTTTAGTGAAGTCAGAGTGATAGTAAGCGAGACAAAATTGGGGTCCGGGACGTTTTATTAAGTCCAGGATTGCAGGAGAACATTCAGAAGCAGTTCAGGTAGACACCCCCCCGCCCCGACTTCCCATAGGTATAAGGGGAGGGGGAGGAGTGTGGCCCACAAACAAGCCAGCCTTTTTCCGCCAAGCTTCCAATTTCCAAGCTGCCCCTCCCCCGCCTAACCAGGTTATCAATCAGGGGTTTGTTCGGGCTGTTGGTTAGGAGAGGGGACTGCAATCCCAGCCGGCTCCATGCCCAGTAATCCGGGCACCCAATTCCCGCCAGCTGACCTAAGCGGCTTTGGGAGACTCTGGAGGCCCCCAGAACCGCCCCCCCCTCCGCTTCCCACGCTCTGTTCATTGTTGTGCTCTCCCCTCGGGCACTGGAGCCCAAAGGGGTCGCCGGACGGAAGGAGGAGGCTGAGCTGGCAGCCTCATGAATCGGATTGGGGCAAGCTGCCCGGTCTTAGGCCGCTTTGCAATTCCCTGCGCCCTGCTGGTGGGCCCAGGCCTCCCCCTTTGGGGCCAGGGATGGGGAAGGGGGGAAAGCAGGCCTCCCCCCTGGCCCCACCTCCCAAACCAGGCCCCGAACGCTGGAGAAACTCCTTCCCCGTTGAGCAGAATTGATGGTCTTTGAACCCCGAGCAGCCACCGGCACCCCAAGAGGCCAGCCGAACCTGGCAAGGACAGCGTCTCCTGCCAAGGCCGTCCCTGTCAGCACTGTAAGCGCGAATGGTCACTAAACTAGGCCACTGATAAACAAGGACGGTCTGTGGAACTGGGGGCAAACTATAAACTCAGCATTTGAGCTGGCCTTGGCTTAGGATGGAAAGCGCGGATTATTTTATTCAATCAAAACTAATAACGATAAACCATAAGCCAATTTTGTTCAACAAGCCATGTTTAAACTAGCCCTGCTTCCTTGGGGAGGGGCATGCCCGGCTGCAGGCCTCCCTCACGGAGCCCTGGGTTCAAATCCCCCTCGCAAGCTGCGCATTTGCAACACTTTGCCATCCCCCCCGGGCCTCTCCTGCGAAACCTCTTTAACCGGCTGGGAGTCAGAGAGGAGGTCACAAGCCCATCATCCCCACAGCTGGCCCAGGACACCAGCCCGCCTGGCTCGCCCTGACCAAGAACGTGGGAAAGGAGCCCCACCGCGAGGTTGCTGGCCCAGCCTCCCTCCAAGGGGACCTGGCCAGACCCTCCCTGAGCCCCAAGGAGACCCTGGCGGGGCTTCCCAAGGAAGGAGCGGCCCGGGAACCGGATGGTCAGTCCAACTTGAAAAGATCCAGGGAAAGAGGTTCTGTTCTTCTCAGCAGCCCCACGTGCCAAGGACAGCTTCAGCTCAGAACAAGGAACGGCCGGGGTCAGAACGGCAGGGCACACCTTCCGAAGATGGTCCCACCCTTCGCCCCGAGCGCCGGAAAATAGTTTCTGGATCCCGTCTCTTGCGAGAGAAAAGCTGGCTGGTCGACACAACCCAGGTGGGAAAGTCGCCTGAGACGGGATCCTATCGGGGAAGGAAAAGGCTGCCTGGGACTCAAGCGCAGCCGCGGTCAGGCTCACAACCGTGGAAAGGAAAGGAGAATTTCCTTTGGCAATTTCCCAGGGAACCTTTGTTTTGGTTACTGACATGCTGTCCCCGTAGGTGTGGTTGTGGTTGCAACATTAAAGACACACACAGGCACCTGCGAATTCACCTTTGTCCCGTCACCCCATTGAAGAAAAGGCAGGAGCTGAGCCCAAAATCACACCATGGGCCAAAGACCAGGGGAAGGAAGGAGGAAGGGAGGGAGGGAGACAGAAAGAAAGAGAGAGAGAGAAGAAATGGAAAGAAGGAAGGAAGGAAGGAAGGAAAGAAAGAAAGAAAGAAAGAAAGAAAGAAAGAAAGAAAGAAAATGAAAAATTGGCAGAAGGAACAAAGAAAGGAAAGAAAAAACTGGGAAGAAGGAAGATTGAGAAAGATGGGGGGTTGGAGAGAAGGAGGGAAAGATGAAAAATGGAAGGAAAGAAGGAAATAACCCCAAAGGGCCAAAGCCCCCCAAAGTGATTGCATTTAACCAACAAACCAAAATGGAACAGCTGGGCTTTCTTTTTGTTTTGAATGAACCCAATTCAGGGCTGCCTGCCTGAGAGACGCACCGGATTCCTCACCTCCCTGCTTGACGGTGGGGCCCCAATGAAAGGGAGCCCCTTGGAGGGAGCCACACAGGCCTCCGTTGAACTGGGGCAGCGGATTCCTGGGAGGGAAGCAACGACGCCACTGGCCCCCAGCCAGCGGGGGACTCGAGGTTTAGCATGAGGCACCACGGCCCCCTCAACCCGCCTCCCGGTTGTATAACATACACAACCACAATCACATGCTCACAGCTGTGCCAGAGACCTAGGATGACGCAGCACCTTCCCGCCTGGCAAACTTTATGATTACGATGGATTAGCCCAGGAGGAGGAGGAGGAGGAGGAGGGGGAGGACCAGGACCACCAGGTGGGCCCAGGTTGGAATCTGGCCTTCCTGCCATCGGATTCCCCCCGGGGGGCTGAAGGCTGAAGCAGCAGCCTGTGTGACCAGGAACCTCGCAGGGTGAAGAACCGAGTCTACCGTCCCTTTAAAAGCCGCTGCTCAGAGCAGGCCAGGACACAACCCCACGCAACCTCCTCCTCCTCCTCCTCCTCCTCC